GAGAGTTGGACTATAAGGAAGGCCGAGCGCCGAAGAATAGATTCTTTTGAACTATGATGCTGGAGATGACTCTTGAGAGTCCCTTGGACTGCAAGAAGATCAAATCAATCAATCCTAAAAGAAATCAACCCTGACTGTTCCCTGGAAGGCCAGATAATGAAACTGAAGCTCAAATACTTTGGCCACCAAATGAGAAGGGAGCACTCACTGGAGAAGACCCTGATGCTGGGAAAGATTGAAGGTCAAAGAAGACGGGGACGGCAAAGGATGGGATGGTTAGACAGTGTCATAGATGCAACGAACATAAAATTGGACCAACTTCAGAGGACGGCGGAAGACCGGAGGGCCTGGCGGGAGCTGGTCCATGGGGTCGCGAAGAGTCGGACTCGACTGTGCGACTGAACAACAACAACTTTGGTTGCGATCTGTCAACAGTTACAGATCTACCTAATAATCATAGGAACCAAACCACATTTTCCAATTTGTCAGCAAGAATATTATGTGGAACTTTATCAAAAGCCTTACTAAAATCAAGATAAACTATGTCTACAGCTTCCCCTGATCAAGCAAGGTAGTAAGTTTCTCCAAAAAAAAGAGATAAGGTTAGTCTGATATGACTTGTTCTTGAGAAACCCATGCTGGCTCTTAGTAATTACAGCTGTCCTTTCTAAATGCTCAAGGACTGTCTGATTATTTGTTCTAAAACTTTCCCAGGTATAGACGTCAAGCTGATGGGTCGTAGTTACCCGGATCCTCCTTTTCCCCCTTCTTGAAGATGGGGACAATATTTGCACACCTCAAATCTTCTGGCACCTCACCTGTTCCCCAAGAATTCTCAAAAATAATGGACAGAGGCTCAGAAATTACACCCATGAGTTCTTTTAGTACCCTTGGATGCAGCTCATCTGGCCCCGAGGACTTAGTTTCATTTAAAGAAACTAGGTGTTTATGTACTACCTCTATGTCGATCCTAGGCTGCAACTCCCTTCCCTCATGTGCTCTGTTTTTGCCATGTTGAGCACCATTTCCCTTGCAAGAGAAGACTGAGTAAAAGTAGAAATTGAGCAGTTCTACCCTCTCTTCATCACCTGTTACAAATGTCCCCGCAATGGGCCTACCATGTCCGTGCTCTTTTTCTTACTTCAAACATAAGGAAAGAACCCTAGTTTGTTGTTTTTAGCGTCTCTCGCTAGCCTAAGCTCATACTGAGCTTTAGCTTTCCGAACTCCCTCTCTACAAGCACTGGTTACTACCTAGACTCTGCTTTTGTCCTTGTAACTGTGCATTTCAGAAGATATGCAAGCTTCATTTTGATCAGGGATCAGGACTAAACAATTTAATCATGGGTTTCATGGGGGTGTCTGGAAAAGAAGAGAGAAAGGTGTTGGTGTAGGAGTTCTAGGAGAGGGAGTTTGAGCACTGCAGCGGGGGCAGGTATGTTAGTCTGTGGACGTGAAATAAAACCAGAGTCCAGGGGCTCCTTAAAGAAGGCGCGTGCCCGAGTCTCACAGCAGCTCATTTGTTCATATCAATAGATACAGGATGAGCAGTGCCATTCCAAGCCAGGCGCCTCCTTCCAAGCCCCTTAGTGTTGCACTGTGGGAAGGGGTGAAGGGGAGCGGGCAGCATCCTTTAGGGCTGCAAGAGGTTTTTTGAGTAGATGGGGGCAACAGAGCAGCATGTTGCTTTATTGCTTTATTGCATATATATTCCAGTTTTCCAAGGGGATGACCCAAAGTGGTTTATCCCTTTGTTGTCCCCTCCTCGACTTCATCCTAAAAACAACGGCCTTGTGAGGTGGGTAAAGCTGAGAGATGGTCATGGACCCAAAGTCACATGCCAGCCTCCAGGGCAGAGTGGGGGGGTTTTGAACTTGGCAGGCCCCCCCCCCTCTAACTACCACACCATACCGGCTCTGGGGTGGCAGGAAAAAGAGCTGTCTTAGGGAATGGTGGCATTGCTGTTCTGTGCCGAGTCACTCCAGTCCCCCCGGGATCCCTGGGACGGTGCTGGGGTGTCGGTGGCCTAGAGCCCGGGGGGTGGGGGATGCCAAAGGGTAATGCTGGACGTGAGAAGGGATGTCAATGTTCCCTCTAAACTGTGGAGTCTTGTGAGCAAAAATTCTACTCTGTGAGCGACTGGCATTAAAGTTGTGAGCGAGCGATTTGGCTACTGCATAAATTAGTCTGCTCTGGTGAGCGAGGACCAAAATGTGTGAGCCGGAGGCTAAAAAACTGTGAGCTGGCTCGCACTAATTCAGCTTAGAGGGAACGCTGGATGTGGGTCCTGTGTGCAGCAGAGGCAAGTCGTCACATGGTCAGAATGACAAGGGAGGCCATTGGTCAGAGGTCAAAGCTGAGGTGCCTGGATAGGGCTGTGGGAGCGGAAGGCCCGAAAAAGGTGGCTTGCAGTTGCCAAAGCGCACTGGGGTTTTGCAACTGTGGACAGAGGGCATAAAGAGAGCCAACTGAATCAAGGGGCAAAAGAAAAGTCCGGCCACAGTGTTGTGCCTCACCAACAGGGTGGGCTAGATGGCAGTCTTATTATTTTATCCTTTTTGTAGTGCTTTTCCAGAAAACATGCCCCAAAGTTGTTCTCAGTATTAAAAACAGACCCCCACAGACTCTGAGCTCTTGTCCTGTCTGAGAGCTGGTCCCAGTAATACTGTTTGTGAAGCAAACTAGACGTGGCAGTGTCCTCATGTACGCCACCCTGAGGCTACTGCCACCATGTTATAATGTTTTTTAAATGCTGTGATTGAAGAATGCACACGGCACTCTTGTCCTGCCCCTGCATGCTTTTTAAAGTTCTGAAATATTAATATTGGATGGGGGGGGCAAAGAGGCATCAGCCCGCTGCCTTGCAGGCCTGATCTGGCCCTGACAGTATTTTCAGATCACTTGGAAATGGTGGCAGCATCCCTGTGGTAGGCACAAGGAAGCCGTCGTGTCTGCTTTGGCCCATAAACCAGCAAACCATTCAGGTAGTTTAACTTTGGAATGACAAACTTGCAAAAGACAGCACAGTTGTTGTGGTTGAATCCTCTGGAACACTCCCTGGCACATCTCTGTATTAGCCAAAATCCCTACCCCTAGATGTCCATGGATGTCTTCAGGTGGGCATTTCACTGTGTTTGTGGAAATTCTGGTGAGGGCAAAACATGTGGGAACAAAGAGCAGTTTTGCTCAGTGTGGCAACGTCCCTAAATTGCTACCAACTAATGTGAAAATTGAGGCCGATTGGCAGGTTCCTCCAAGGACAAAACTTATAACAGGCTTTAGTGGAACCTTGACTTGGACTGGGGGGATGGTGTTTTAAGGCCACTTAGAGGTGGGGAATCAAACCCGCTTCTCCCAGATTAGAGTCCGCGCACTGAACCACTACACCAAACTGGCTTAACAGATTCCCCCTCCTTCACCACTTGCATTAGAGAAATCCCAAAGGATTCAGTGTAGTTTCAAAGTTTCAGAATATCTGGAGTGCCTTCTTGGCCAGAACATTGCCTTTAAAAATATATATATATTTTTAATCCATTCCTCCTGCACCCAAAACTGGAATGTGCAGGTGAAGACTCTGGGGTTCCTAATATGCAATCTTGCTGGAGCATTTTTCTATCAAAAAGGCTAGCCAGAGCTAGATTCACACACAAGTTAAGGAAGTGGGCATGGCTTATTTTTGGCAATGCTGAGGGAGCCCTGAAAATGAGTATGTCTGAATCCAGCCCTGCCGATATCTGAGGTGAGCACGGAGCACGTTGTATCCCTGCAAGTTGTATCATTTCAGATTCTCCGTTATTAAAAAGAAAGGATTAAAAATTACATGTTTGTTCAGGAACAGTTTGTCAGAATTATGTGTTAAGGGGTTAATAAGGGGGTAATGAAAATTTATGCCAGGAGTTAATGTAATTCTGAAATAGAAAATGGCAAGGATATGCAGGTGAAATCATGTTAAGGCCGCGGAGTGGAGAGATTGTAGGGCTCCCATCAGTTCTTTCATTTTGCCTTCTTTCCCCCACACACCCCTGAAAGGGCTTCAGGACTCTAAACCGGAGTGGAAGTTGACCCCTGAAGAAACCTCGTGGTGGTATGACCCCGGCGGGGCATCGTAAGCCATCATGAAGGAACAGAAATATAATGCTTAACGATATTCAGCGTAATTAAACAAAATCTTTAAAACAGGCCAACTTATTCTCGAGCCGGGAGGTCTGTGCTCCGGCCAGAAAGAGATACGCCGAGAGCACTGAGAAAGGTTCTCCGTAGGAGAAAAAACACGAAGGCAGCCCGGGGTGGCCACCGCCCACCCATCCGGCCAGAGGGAAAGGAAGTTCAGAAATGCTGCCTTTCCTAGCCGTGCTGCTCCAACCAGCCGTGCAAGAGAGGGGAAGGAAGGAGGGCCGGCCACCCTCTGCACAGCCGTTGGTGGAGACAGGGGCAGCGGCAGCCAGGGACTAAGCCACCGGTCGCCTTGACTGGTGTAAAAAGCTAGGAGCCGGTCTTCTTCCTTACAAAAACTGGAAATTGAACATTCCGAGAAAGGGCCTACAATGTCCGAGGTGGCACAGAAATATCCTGAAGAAATAGATAAGTAAATAACATTGTGCAACAGAACCCTAAATCCGCTTCTGTGGAAATGACTTTGCTCCAGTTCTGTCAGCATGCTGTAATTTCCATTCCCCGTATACCTCTGTGTGCTGGATGTATTACAACCCTTGCCGTGAAGGCAAGGCATGGGGGGGGGAATGCATTTATGCACAAGGATCCCTAAAGCCACCCCACCCCCAGCACGTAAGAAAGAGCCCACTTAGAAAGAGCCAGTTTGGTGTAGTGGTTAAGTGTGTGGACTCTAATCTGGGAGAACCGGGTTTGATTCCCCCACTCCTCCACTTGCACCTGCTGATGTGACCTTGGGTCAGTCACAAGCTCTGGCACAGCTGTCCTTGAAAAAGAGCAGTTTGTGTCAGAGCTCTCTCAGCCCCACCCACCTCACAGGGTGTCTGTTGTGGGGAGGGGAAGGGAAAGGAGTTTGTAAGCCGCTCTGAGACTCCAAGTTAAGGGCGGGGTATAAATCCAATCTCTTCTTCTTCTTCTGCTTCTTCTTCTTCTTCTTCTTCTTCTTCTACTTCTTCTTCTTCTTCTTCTTCTTCTGTTCCCTTTTAATGTTCCTTCCAGCAACACTAAGGGACTCAGTGGAAAAGAAAAGGGCCCTCCCCACATATCCAGTGATACTTCCAAAAGCAGAATGCATGGAAGAACGAATTGATAAATAGATAGGTGCCCTGGCTGGCTTGGATGACCCCGGGTAGCCTGATCTTATCAGGGTAAGCTTCGGCTAGTCCTTGGACAGAAGAGACCGCCAAGACAGTCCAGGATGGCACCGTTGAGTGATTTCAGCTCATACTTTGCTCAGCGATGTCAAGAACTTGAGACGCAAGGGCAAGCCCGAGGGCTGCTCAAATGCACCCACAGAACCACACCCACACACTCCCCCACACACCCCCGTGATTGGCTTATTTACATTCACCCCCATGAGACAGGTTCCCTTGAGGATCCGGATTAGCCGATGGGCTGTTTCTAGGATCCTCTGTCCCTATTGTTTTTGGGAGCGAAGCTCTGGCTGTTCGGGAGGCCGCGTGCTCGGTCCGACCACGTGCGCGGTCTCTGTCGGGACACGACACTGCTTGTCCTTTGTCCCACTGAGACACTGTTCCTGAGGGTTTGGAGAACTGCTAGCTGCTCTCCCCCACCCCACGCCCTCCCGGGTCTATTCTTGTCCCCTTCCTCTCTCCTCCTCCTCCTCCTCCTCCGCCAGGTAAGCCTCTGAGAAGTGTCAAATAGCTTTTCTCCTTGTCAGGCCTGAAAAATGCCAGCGGGAGGGGGGGAGGTTTGATCCTCCCAGATACCCCGACAAGGGAGATCAGGCTTAACTCGGCTCTGAATGCGGAGGACAAATAGCTGGCTGGTCTCTTAACCGTCCCGGGCTTTGCTTGGCCCTGCCATTCCCATGGCGAGGGCTTTAGGCAGCCTTTCAGGAGGAAATCCCCTCGCTGGTGGCTGGGCAGAGAGGAAATCCGGGCCCTGGACTGAATTGGCCTAATGCTCCGGCAGCTTAAGCAGCCTGTCCTACCAGAGATTATCGCTTCACTTACAGGGAGGGTCTGAAAAATGCTGCGGGATAGAAGGGATTAGGGGCAGGGGGGAAGAATGCGGAGCTTCAAAAGAGGGAGAAAGCCGGGCAGGGGGCAGGGGAAGCCGGTGGGGGTGGGCTTCGGGGCTGGGGTGGCCTCCGTGAAGAGGGGCAAGCCCTTCCTGTGGCCTGGCCAGCGATGGCCCCTCCTGGCCCTCCGTCTGGTTCTGGCTGGGTCGCCAGCCTCCAAGCCGGGCCCGGGATCTCTCCAGAAGTACAACCGGCTGATCTCCAGATGAGAGAGATGAATTGCTCTGGAGAAAACGGCCGCTTTGGTGGGCGGACTTTGCGGCATGGCACCCTTCCTGAGCTCTCTCCCGTCCCCAGGCCTTCTCTGCCCCCGAGTCTCCAGGAATGGCAGCTCTAAGCTGGTCTGGGGGGTGTCCGGCTTTGCCTCCTGTGGGGGCAGAGCTAGTAGCAGGGCCAGTTCAGCAGCCCGTTTCCCCTGCTGAGTGTGCTTCCGCTTGGAGCCTCCTCGTGTTCTCCCGTCCTCATCCACCTCTTTAGCCAGTGAAACAGGCTGCTTCCTGCGGAGACGGTGTGATGGTAACGGGGAGCAGGTTTTTGTTTGTAACGGAAGAGAAGTCAGGATTGCAGAAGGAAACCCTATCCCAAAGGATTTGGGGAAACGCAGCATGCAAAGGAACAGAGCCTCAAAAGTGAGGCTGAGGGACTCTGGGCATTAAGATGAGGTGGGAATAACGTGTCAGGGAGAACTTTGCTAGGAGAGGGAGAGAGCGGGGCTCCTTCTGAGAGCGGTCTTGGGGGTGGGGAAGGCACTGCCCAGTCACCGCTGACTCTGGTTTATCCGTTGGTGTGGTTTTTGTCCTGCCCCCCCCTCCCTGTAGGCTCAGGGTGAGGCGCAATGCAATAGCAAAACACATCAAAACGATTTCATATGATTTAAATTAAAACCTTTTTTTAAAAACCAGGTAAACTGTGTGATGGTAACATATAAACCTGAGGGATATGCGTGTGACTCCAGACAGGCCATCAAGATAATAATTGGGCCCGGCCCCCAACCGATAACACAAGTGGGTATCATAATTCACGTGGCTGGGTAGGTGGGTGGGTGGGGGGACTAGAGCAGGGGGGGCCAGACACAATGAGACACCCACTGCCTCAACCAAAGGCCTGGCAGAACGGCTCCGTTTTACAGGCCCTGTGGAACTGTAATCCCTGTAGGGTTTTCAGGACCCTCGTAGGGTTTCCCAGGTAAAGTAAAGGTAAAGGTTCCCCTTGCTCGAAAGCCAGTCGAATCCGTCTCTAGGGTTGCGGTGCTCATCTCCGTTTCCAAGCCGAAGAGCCAGCGCTGTCCGAAGATGTTTCCGTGGTCACGTGGCCGGCATGACTAAACACCAAGGCGCACGGAATGCTGTTACCTTCCCACCGAAGTGGTACCTATTGATCTACTTGCAATTTCTTGCTTTCGAACTGCTAGGTTGGCAGGAGCTGGAACTAGAGACGGGAGCTCACTCCGTCATGCGGCACACTCGGGTCTCGAACTTCTGAACTACTGACCTTCCACAGCCTGCAGTTCAGCGTCTTAACCACTTGAGCCACCGCAGCTCCTTAGGGTTCCCCAAGCAAGAGACAAATTGAGGTCACCCATAACAGCCCTGTCCGACTCTACCTCCGTGCCACTGAACTTGCTGCTATCCTGTACAGACACACGGCCCATGTCTGGAACCAGCAGGAAGAACTTGGACTTCATCCTGCTCCAGGAAGGGGAAGGATGCTCAGCGCAGGACACGTGTCGAGTGTGCTGGAGAGGGTGTCTTGGGAAAGAGGAAGAGGGGGAAGGAGAACACACAAAGAGCATCTCCCTCCACATTGTAAATGTATCTTGCCAATTACCCAGATCTGGTCTTCCTCTGGAAAATGACCATCCTCTCTGCAATAGCTGGTTCTTTTGTTCCCTCGGTCTGGTCCTACACAAGTCACTTGGGCAGGTTTCCCATTTGTTGCGGACGACTGCCGGAGAACCAGAATGCAAGAGCACCCCGGGGCCCTTTCAGTGGGACTGGCCCCCCCTTAATCCTCTGTCACCATCTCGTCATATAATCAGGGTCGTCAAAGGATGGGTCTGCGTGCAGGATTATGGATGAAGTAGTTATTCCAACTGCACCCAAGCACAAGTGATTCAAATCCATCCACATGTTCTAGAGCCAATCATTCTGGGGTCTGAAAATCCAAATTTTATATTAGTTATAGGAAGTCACATTATGTAAATTTTTGCCATTTTTTCTAACTGTGACGTTTAACATAAAGGTAAAGGTTTCCCTTGGCATTTTGAAACATACAGCAATGAAACATTCCACGTGCAGTCAGTTTTAGTGTCATGTATACGCTGCAAAGCTTTATTCTGACAGTAGCAGATGTGGCACAGATAGATGACTAACTTTTCCCCTCCAAATGATAGGAGGAAATTCTGTGTCAAGGAATCTCAGCCTCTGTGCTCAGGGTGGATTGTAAAAGTCAAGCCTATGTTTTCATTTAGGAAATGTTTGTGCTGCCTCACCAAAGACCTGCTTGAAACAAGTCCCAGAGTAAATAAACAAACACTAACATCATAACAAGGGCTACCACAAAATCATCAATATTATAACTAGCCATAACAAAATACAATTGAGCAGCTTGAAATGCAATTCATAAAACAGTCATCAGGCTAGGAGGGGCCCATAGAAATATCTTTAAAAACCGGTGGAACCCTTAAATTAGAAGCCTGGCTAAAGAGAAACAAACCATTCCCCTAAACACCAATCCTGCCCTATAGATTAACTCTACAGCCCTAGATGCCCTTACTTGGAAATCAGTTCCATTGAACTGAATTTGACTTGTTTCCAAGTAAATACGCATATAATCCAGCTTTTCCATCCGTATGTTTATGGAGTAAAGTTGTGCATGGGTAACTCTTCCCTTGAAGGAGGTACAGATGTTTCTCCAGATGTCTTCAGCAAAGGGGCCATCTGCTGCCTCTCCCAGCATCTTGACAGCCAGCCGAGGGGTGGGCCAGTCCCTCTCTCTCCGTCTGTCCTCCCTCATAGGGCTGTTGCAAGGACAAGACTGGGAAGGGGAGCTCCTTGAAGGAATGTGGGGAGACAAATGGGATCCTTATTGTGATGATTCACTCCACGAGGGGGAGAACCTCCTTGACATTTCCATGGTTCCTTTCAGTCCCTACGCTCTTGCCACAACCCAGTCAGCAGTCCTGGTCACCACACCTCAGAAAAGGACATTACAGCATTGGGAAAAGTGCGGAAAAGGGCAACTAGGATGATCAAAGGGTTGGAACACTTTCCCTATGGGGAAAGGTTAAAGCGCTTGGGGCTCTTTAGTTTGGAGAAATGACGACTGAGGGGTGACATGATCGAGGTTTATAAGATGATGCATGGGAAAGAGCAGGTAGAGAAAGAAGTACTTTTCTCCCTTTCTCACAATACAAGAACTCCTTGTGGGCACTCCATGAAATTGCTGAGCGGTCGGGTTAGAACGGATAAAAGGAAGTACTTCTTCACCCAAAGAGTGATTAACAC